TGGAAGGCGTTTAACTCACCTTCGAGAGATTCAAAGTGGCCTAAGCAGAAGCCAGCGTATTTTACGGGAAACGGTTAGCAGCAACAACAACAGCAGGGCACCAGTAGTTTAAACTAATGATTTGCTATCATACAACCACAGCGAACTAGGAAAAGAATAGTAAAAGCGTGCCAAATGGGACTTACCGGAATTTGCTTAATGTCCAAAGTAAACATTAAGTGTTAAGTCGCCTACACTTTGTGTTAACAACATACGGTCACAAAGAGCTAGCTATCGTGCAATGATAAGGCGGCATTAACATGACAGCAACCTTTCGGTTTTTACTGCCCAGCGTCATAATCAGCCATTATCCCGCAGATAACTCAGCACCAAACACATTTTAAACGGGCAATCCGAATGAAGACGACAGCAAACGCACCATGTTAACTGTGAGCCATGTTCTGTAGGTTCTCAAGCCAATCACAAAGTGGGTCTCGTGGATTCCAGCCTTAAAGGCTAGATAGACCAGCGGCACCGAGATTGGTTGTCAGTGACTTCATTTCTTGCTGCCAAGTCAACATTGTTACCTCAATCCTCTCGCCACCCTACATTTGGCAGGCAAAACAAGACCCTCCTCAATAAGCGCTGACCAGGCATAGATAGTACCTGCCCAAGCCAACGCAAATTATTCATTGCTAACTGTTGTGCCAAGAAACTAGCATTAGTATCACTTGCCAGCACTCGTCTACTCAGATCATCGATACGGACACACTGGTGCCACTCAACAACAGCACTGCTACGCAGACGGCAATGCTTAAAATCTTGATGGTGCTATAGATCCTCAGATCAAAGGGGCCAAGTCACACTCTAGTAGAGGAGGACGTCACTCACTGTGGGATAGAAAACAAGGTCTTTCGTATAATGAGAAGCTCCTTCCTGTCGCAAAAGAGGTTGCATATACAAGCTGATAGTTCTGTAATTTGCAATAGGCATACCGACTTCAATTGATTTGCGCCCAGTATCGCTAAAACAGCCGCCAATCTAAGTAAATTGCTCAATTACCTAGAGTTCTTTGCCATCATGGATCAAGAAGTCATCAAAGGGCTGGTAATCCTGCGGCAACACTTTGTCTTTTGAAGATTTGTGACAGCTCACAAAGGACCCAAGCGGCACTGATCAGATTAGCACTAGCTGTCCGTCACTTCGGGCTTTGCTTAGCAACCTCGAAGTGCAAAGCATTCCTGCAAGCTTGGTCTGGACCGCCTCCTACGCTGACCCTTGGTGGGGATCAGCTAGAAGTCGTTCAAAAATTCAACTACCTAGGAAGTTGTATCAGCGCCCGTGGGATTGAATAAGAGATCAGGAACCGTACAGCAAAAGCTCGGGGCGCTTTTGCTAACCTTCGCCACTTATGGTGCCAGTGCGACATCATACTTGCCCTGAAAGGTAAAGGGTACATTGCAGCGGTACGCTCGACCCTACTGTACGGTTGTGAAATCTGGCGCTTTAAAACAGCGGACCTGAAGAGGCTAGTTACGTTCGACCACCGGTGCCTTCGCAATTTAGCTCACAGCTAGTGGGAACACGGTGTAAGCAACGAGCGTGTTCGATTCATTGTATACGGCACGGGAAAAGGAAATGAACCGCTCAGCACCGTTATTTCACGCACCAGGCTCCGATGGCTCCGCCACCTGCTACGCATGCCAGCCCACCGACTCTCGCGACGTGCGTCGTTTGCGCGCCGGGTGTGTGGATGGAAGAAGAGGTGAGGTGGCGAAGTGATGACTTGGTCGAGAGGAATGAAGGCCCTCACTTCTGAACTGGCCTCGGTTGGAGCTTCTCGGCTCCCTGGTTGAGGTCCGAAAGACGATGAGTACGTTTGGCTGGATACACTTGCTGCTATGGCTAGGAGCCGACCTTAGTGGCGTTCGTGCAGTGAGCTCCTTTGTCCCACCCCATCCCTCTTAGCCTCCCCCTCCAACCACGATCTCACTATTTAGCCTTATATAAGTTTGCATCTTATTGTTTTGATGCACAGTTGCCAGCTGGTAGCTTACCGGAACGATGCCCATCCATTACCGTCAGCTCAGCCCGCTTGTATCAGTTGCATTTTCCTCCTTTCTTCTAAATATTGCGGTACAGCAGCCGAGGTGCATCCCACCGCTAGCTAACGGGTAGGCTGATGATGTTGATGAATAACGGAACCACCCTGGAAATGTTTTCTGGGTTGATTGCGCCGCCCCAGTATCGTTAAGCGGTAAAAAGATATCGTCCGTATAATACATATTTTTATCATCCTATCAACAAGCAGCACCTTAACACCTGTGTCTTGGGACACTAAAAGGAAACACTCCGTGATAGAGTCCACGATGGTATTGAACAAAAAGGGGGAAATTGTACAACTCTGACAGACGCCACTAGTTTTCGGAAAGATGTTCGATAAATTCCTTATTGGATCTTGGAGTACCCATTTCGTCTAATAAATCTCTGTAGACTATGACGCCGACTGTCTTGTTTGCTTATCGAACACATAACTAGTTCACATATTTCGTGGAATTGCGCTTCCGCCTAGGTATTTTAAACAGAAGGCATCGATCGACCCAATCAAACACCCACTTGAAAAGTTGATCCGGATATTTTTGTTTATTTATTTCTGCTAAACTGTCTGGTCTCCACGTAGATACCACAGAGCTGCAAAAACCACTAGCTGATCGGATTAGACCAAAGACTCGGCTGTCAAATTGATTCATCGAGTGCTGGTACGCGCTTCTAAAACCGACGGTTAAGGGTTTTGAACGTCAACTAAAAGCTCCTAGGTGGTAACGCAAAACGTTTTCGTTCTCCTCACGTACATCTATCTTCTCATTTTGAATGGTTTTTGTGTTTGTTTGTTCAAGCATTGGCATTATTAGAATTTTAAATAACCTTCCTTTCTTTACTACTTCTCTTCCTATCCTTTGCTTACTTTATTTAACTGGCACAGCACGGACTGCTGGTGCAGGGAACTTTGGCACTAAATAGATGACTATGGGGTTTTAGATCCGGCAGTACTGCTGAGCATCGTATCGACTTATTGCATAAGAAACTGACTGAAAAGGAACACCAACAAAATTTTCTTTCTTTTGAGTCTAAATCAAATTTGAACTTGAACGTATTCGCTTTTAGGTTAAAAGCGAGCATTCCTGGTAAAGAATCATCCCAAAGATATTTGATAAAATGTACATAATTTAGAATCTTTTGACTTGTTTAAGCATATTATTTAGCTGTGTGGTAATTTCAAGCTAAGGTAAATAGACATAAACCCACACCTCAGGCGTACGCACTGTTCTCTTTCATCTATAAATGCAGACACCACTTTAAGGGCTCCGCTTGACATCCTACATGATCTAAAGTATAATAAACTTCGCCAATGGTGCACAGTATTAAGCACTTTTAAATCAAGTGAAAAGTATGTCAAGAGTGTGGCGGCTGTTTATTGCCTTAGCCACGCTGCAAGAAAATGTGGATAAGATAAACCTTTATGGATCGCACGTTGTGCAGCACTAAGAAGATTACATTTATTTGGACGCTTGTCTATCGTATTTCTCAACAGAGTTGAGGTAGATTGATTTCTAAAAGTATTGCAATAACATAGTGGCATACCATAATTAAGGGGTAGATTGTTGTCACCTCTTCTCACATGCAGCCATTTCCTAGCAGAAATTTTAAGAGAGCAAGAACAAAATCGTTTTTACAGGATAACCAGAATTCAGATTATTTCGTGTCTCCTCATTCAGCCACTTACAGACCAGTCGTGGAAAGAATAAATGAATGCAACTGGAAGGGAAGTCAGTAAGGAGGTCAATAAAGCACTGAGAAAATCAAGGTCCTTGCCTAGGTCTTACCAGAGCAAAGCAAGACTGCCCACAAGGTCGACCTGTTTGCACACTTTTGATTTCATTCGCCGGATGGCAGTGGCTGCAGCGAAAGGAAGCAAGCCCGCGTTATTTTGTCTGCTGATTACCTTGAATGCGTCAGGTGGGTTTTCACACAAGGTACAATTTAAGAGATGCTGGGCGAATGAGCTGGCAGGAAGTTGAGGGTCACTGTTTGCCAGGTACCGGGGAACATGTTCCACAGATTGTTCCCTCATAAGATCGAGTTACCGAAAACCGAGCTGGACCGGACAAAACCTACATTTCGACAGTTACTGTTCAATGAACTATAAAGCATTCCTACTTCAAACTTATGTTATTAGAGCATAGCGAATTTGCCCTGAAGAGTCCATCGAGGCTGAACTACGATACATCGAGTCTAACCTAAGCAATAACGGCTTTCCGAACAAATTTATTGCCAGATATTGGAATGAGGTTGCTAAGAAAGTAAAGTAAATGGATGTCCCAAAGATATAGGTCTTCATCATGCTACCATACAAAGGGGAACAGAACGACAGGAGATCGTGCTACTGATTACGCCAGGCTATAATTGGTTGCTACTGCGCAGCTGAGCTCGTGTTGTTACATGAAACCAAAATGTTTTTCCATGCATCCAACTTGGATAATCCTCAATATCAGGTTACCGACTCATGTGTTTGCCAATACACCTGTACTTGCGGTAGCATGTTCATTGGCCGAACCGAGAGAAGGCTATCAACTAGGATCAATTGCATTCATTTACCCATTCTACGATTTGTCTGTAAGCGGCTGAATGAGGAGACACGAAGTAATCTGAATTCAGGTTATCTCTCTTAATATCTATGCTAACAACCGGACAAATAATCGCCTCTTGTCATTCCGGAAGTAAGGCAAGGCCATCAAGCTAAAACCCGGTTCTAAACGCATCAATTAACATTTTACAAAACGCATGGCTTTCACCGCTGTGCAAATGCAACACCAAAGGAGTATTGGTGAATAATAAAGGTTAGAAAATGCGGCTTTACAATGTTAGACAGGTGTAGCACGATGGTTAAAAACACCTGAAAATGTTGCGTTGATGCCAATTTGGAAGTAATTAATGTGGGACAGCATTACAGCGAAACTAACCTGGCCAGTTTCTCCAAGCCTCTCCTTGTCAGAGCTATCTATAACATAAACCTAAGAATAATAAAGCATGCTCAACAATTTAACTACGAGAACATCAGTGTTCTCAAAATAGTTTCTCCAGTATGGGCGGATTCTTTGCAGACCACCGATATCCCAAACGTTAAGTTTAAAACCCTGCGAATGCACACTTTTAATGTTAAAGCCCTGAAAAATCCAAGTAAAAGACTGTATACCAATGTCGGGGTGGTTTGATTTATATCCTCGGAAGCTAGTTGTTTGAGAATGGTCGTTTTCCCGGCATTATCAAGGCCAAGAAGAAGGATCCGTACTTCTTGATCAGGCCTCGATTTTAATTTGCGCAATAAGCTGAGTAGTCCCTAAATCGGAAATTATTCACAAGGATGCGTTTCATAACATCAAGCAATTTGCGAAACTGAAGAAGATACTTCATTACCATGTAAATTAAAATGTTGCTTGTTACTAAAATAGCGTCCAGTTTACAGCTGGCTTATAAAAACACATCATTGATAGAGCTGCCCCTCATATTCGTTCCACGGAATAAGCGTTCAATGAAGATTTAGCTTACTTTTTTATCCCCAACATCCGTTTGTTCATACCTACCGTTTGTTCATACCTAGTTCACACCAAGTTTAAGTGAAAATGGACCAGCAAAGCCTAGCCGCAACTGTTCATTCTCTAGGTTATTGTTGAGACGGGATATTAATTTTAGAAAATAGTTTCAACCGCCTAATTTAAAATCAGTTTGAAGGAATCACACTGTCTACAATTAACGCCTATCCAGTATCCCGCATCGACATTCCTTAAGTCGACGGCCAACGGAAATTGCGAAACAAAGGCAGAAAAAGGCGTAAGCCAGTAATGACCCATAAAGGAAGATACTTTGGAACACTCCAAAATACTAAGAACGGAGCATACGTGGAAAATTATTTTCTGTTCGATAAAATGATTCATGCGTTTGCTTACTAAATAACGACCGTTGTCGAAGGGTTACGAGGACGAAACTACCTCTAGCGTTTAATTTGTTTGAGGATGCATTCAATGCGCCATCGAAGAAGTAGAGAGCTACTATGTCTAACCCACCATGTTTTAACTGGGAGAATGGGCCTGGATTTGTACAGACCGTTTATTCCTGATAGCTTGTCTAGACTCCGCGGTACGCCATGAAGCTGTGCAAACGGCAATCCGACCGGATTAGAGCAGAAACTCGGCCACCGCGCTAATTCATTCAGCATCAACCTCGCTTCCAGTAGGTGTTGTCAGGGCATCTACAGTTTGAGCGCCATCTGGGCGCTTTCGAGTGGCAACTAGAAACATTTTACCTCGCTTAACCGAGTCCTATTTTCATAGTTCAATACCACTTTCTGTGCTTCTTTCATCCTTGGTATTATGCTTTTCTTTCTACTGACTTCGTTTAGTCTTTACTATCGAGTTATTCTCCTACCGTGCTTGCATCATGTAACTGACACCGCATGGAATGCTAGTTCAGGAAACGTGGGCAGCAACTGTTTTACCGGGATGGGATTCGGCGTTCAGATCTGTCCACATCAATAACTCGGAGCACCTTATCAACTCCCGAGTGAAAGCTTCGTTCCGGTCCCCTATGGACTTAAACTTAAACCTTTAATTGGTATGAATCTTGTACTCCGTTCGCTTAGATCATATGTGTACAAATTTCTTCAAAAGTTTTGGGGCTTCTGGGGATACCATTTATGTGGAGGACAGCTTAATCACCCCTTCATGGAACAGAAACGAATAGTTTACTGCCCCCGAATTCCTCATGGTTGTAACAACAGAGGCCTATCGTAAATGCACTTGATTGATGTAAGTGATGCCATTCTACTGAGGTAGTTCGCTACCAGCTTGCAACCACCACTGGAATCCTACCCAGTAGCCTACTAAAGGTTAGCCTGTCAGGGCCAGGTTTCCAAGCGCGGTAAGAAGAAGTATGGAGGTAAGTTGTTAAATGCTTTTCTTATCCTTATTAGCTTAGCGTTCACGCAACCTCTGCTGTTCTCGCTTTTCAGTTATAGAGCAGATTAAAACCCAAGGACACTGGCTATCCGTGTCGATGAGTCATAACCATCCTTCCTATTCGGACTCGAACAGTAAAATTACTTATACTTGGCGTGTGACACTGTGGTAACCATGTCAGCAACATCGATTGGCTCGATCTCATTGGTTGGCTTGCTGACTCATTACTATTGGTTGTGTGCGTCTGTCGCTTGACTCTCCGTTTAACAAGGGATTGACTCAGTTGTACTTGGTTAATTTTGCGAGATACATTTTACCTTTCCTACGGCTTTCTTGATACAACATTGTGGCGTCGCGGAGGCAAAAATGAACCTTTCCATCCAACCCCCATCTCCATTTTGGACTGATTGCGGCAGCAGACCGACATCGGATGCCTGGTTCCGTTGGAAAACATCCTTCCTAAACTACTTGGATTTAATCAGCGATCTCCCTACTGCTCTTACTGAGGATAAAAGATTGAAGCTGCTTCGTCATTTACTCGGAGATGAGGGACAGCGACAATTCGATGATTTGGGTCTCCAAGGATGCAAATCGGTTATGGACGCCTTCAATGCTCTCGATCGTGCATGGAGTTACCAAATGAACGTGTTCACCGCGCGATATATTTTCTCCCGAATACACCAAGAAGCAGGCGAACCCTTGAATGATTTCATTGCTCGGCTGAGTCGTGCAGTACGACCGTGTGCCTACTCGTCTATTCCACAGAAAAAGATTGAAGGCTGTATGCTCACTCAGCAACTGATCACTGGAATCGCTGACAATCGCATACGTGAGGGGCTATTGCAGGAAGACGCTTGCACACTAACGTGGGATCGAGCTTGCGAACTAGCCCGAGTAAAGACAGAAATTTCATTGCAATCGAAGCAGTTTTGTTCCACCAGCTTAGCAGAAGTGGCGAGAGTACAATCTTTCCGGCAACGTCCGACAGACAAACTTTCTTGCTATCGTTGTGGGAGCACGTCTCACAAAGCTAATTTTGCCGGTTGTCCCGCACGCAGCCTCAAATGTAAAAACTGTGGTAAAATTGGTCACTATGCCCGCTGTTGTCGATCGCAGGCTGTCGCGCTCATTAAAGATGATGGTACACCGGAATGCCATGTTACCGATCCAACTCAAGACAATATCTATTCAATCACCGCTGACTCCATACCTTCAGGTTGTGTAACCATATCCGTTGTTGAACCGAAGTTTCCAGCTGCTGACATTCGTACTGTATTGTTCCTTACTGTTAAAGGTGCTGTTCCATTGGAAATGGAACTTGATTCTGCTTCTCCAGTTACTATCGTGCCTTTCCAATTTTATGAACGCTACCTATCACAGCATACTTTACATCCCACCTCACATTCATTCTGGAGTTATAGTGGGAACACACTAACCATATTGGGATTTATTATCGTGCCTTTGCAGTTGCATTCTGTGATTGCCGATGTCGCAGTGTATATTTCTTCGGACAACAGACGACCCTTGCTTGGGAGGAATGCTATGGTGGCTTTGCACATTGTACCATCATTCGACCGCATGCTTATCTCTTCCGTCAACGTAGCACACTGGCAGGAACATTATCCGCAGCTCTTCCAGAAGTCCATCGGCCGTATTCCATGTGGTGTGCATCGAATTCAGCTGAAACCGAATGCGAAACCGGTCGCCATTGGTCAACCTCGACCCATTCCGCTAGCGAAACGTGAAGCGGTCTCTGCAGCCCTGCAAGCGATGCTAGCAAATGATTTGATTGAACCCATCGATTGCTCTGAGTGGGTGCATCCAATGGTTTGTGTCATGAAAAAAGACGGTACTGTCCGGATATGCAACGATTTGCAGGCGCTGAACAAACAGATCGTCGTAGAACGCTTTGTTTTACCATCTAATGATGAACTCACTGTACGTTTAGCTGGTGCAACTGTTTTTTCCAAGCTAGATTTGAAAAGTGCGTTTTTCCATATGCCATTGGCCGATGATTCCAAACACCTAACTGCCTTCCTCGCTCCTGATGGCCTATTTCAGTACAAAGTCTTACCCATGGGTTTGAGTTCCGCGCCCGCCGCCTGGCAAAAGTTCATGACTCACGCCCTGGCAGGTATCGATGGGCAGGTTGCCTACATGGATGATATTTGTGTTTTCGGCCGCTCACAGGAAGAACATGATGCAAGGTTACACAAAGTCCTCCAGCGCCTCAGTGATCTTAATTTGCGTCTGAACGCAGAAAAATGTCTCTTCAATGCACCAGAAATTCAGTTTTTGGGACACGTCATTTCACGCAGTGGCATTCGACCAAGTGATGAAAATATCAGGGCCATCTCTGAAGCGCCAACACCCAAAAATTTGACAGAACTAAAGTCCTTTTTAGGAATGTGCTCTTACAACCTGCGCTATCTGCCGGATTTTGCGACTGTGGCAGATCCATTACGACAGTTAACAAAGAAAGGATCGTCGTTCGTTTGGGGCAGCAATCATCAAAATGCCTTTGATGAACTGAAAAGGAGAGTTGCGTCTGCTCCCTTAGTTGCCATTTTTGATGAATCTTGCCGCACCTTTGTGTCCACTGACGCGTCTGATGTCGGTCTCGGAGCTGTCCTCTCACAAATACAAAACGGAGAGGAGAAAGTTATTGCCTACGCATCACGAAAGCTATCAGATTCCGAACGTCATTATTCAGTTGGGGAAAAAGAAGCCCTTGCATGTGTGTGGGCCTGTGAAAAGTGGCATTTATTTCTGTTCGGTCGTCGTTTTATTCTGCGTACTGATCATTCAGCCCTAACAGCTCTTCTCAGCAATGGATCTAAAGGATCTCGCCCAATGCGAATCGATCGCTGGTATGCCAGACTCCTTAACTACGATTTTGAAATTGTGTACCGGCCAGGTTTGCAAAATCAGATTGCTGACGGCCTATCTCGCTTACCCGTGGGGTTGGAGGATGAAAAAGAGAGACTCAGAGAGGCGGTACTAGTTTCCAGTCTCGGAGCTAACCTGTCGGCCTTGACGATCGAGGAACTACGAAGGGAAAATTCTAACGATTCTTTACTGCATGAGATTATTGAATATGTGCAGCAGGGCTGGCCCAAGAATAACAAAATCCCCGGTGAGTTCATTCCGTATTATGCAATTCGACATGAACTATCAGTGGTAGACGGTTGCCTGATGCGCGGTTCGGTGTTTGTAGCTCCGTCCCAGTTGATAGCCAAGATAATAGCTTGCGCACATGAGGGACATCCAGGTATAGTTCGGACCAAAAATCGAGTAAGACTCTATTTCTGGTGGCCACGAATGGCATCTAGCATTGAGACATTTGTGGTCAATTGCAATGCTTGCCGATTAGCGGACAAAAGTTCTTTGCCCGTTAAAGCCCCGACACAGCCAATTGCTTACCCGATGAAACCATGGACCAAAATCGCCATTGATATTATGGGCCCTTTCGCTACTGCTCCTACGAATAAGCGAAATCTACTT